ACGGTATTTTCTTATTTTGATGTTTTGAGCTCTTTCATGTTTAGAAAAATATATACTAATTTTTAAAGTATCAATTGAATTTTTGTTCAATAAAATGTCTTTCAAATGTGAATGTAGCTTTTTTTTCCCCCAAAACTTTGTCTTCAGAATAAGAGTGCGTCTTATATTCCGAAAAATACGGTAATTATAGTCTGATCAAAATATGAGAAACCTTTATTCAGTATTGTCCAGTTCTGAAAAGAAGGCTAGTAACTTCAGGTGTGTTGTACTCCCAGATGACATTAAAGCAATATTATTGACAATAGCTGTACATACAGAGGCTGAACCAGATGGCACGAGGCATCTATCCACAATGTCAAAAATGAAATGACTGGGGTTTTATAGACTCTGGGTTACCTCTGCCAGGTTAAACTAAAGCCTGAAGTCTTTTTCTCAAGACATTTCCTTAGACTGACTAATCCACATGCTTTTGACACCACTGGAAATGAGCAGTTTTGTGGCAATGGATTAGTTGTGAACACATCATTAGTTGTTTAGTTTAAAGCCAGTCTTATGAATCATACTTCTGACTATTGATGACTTGTCCATTTCTTTCTCTGAACTATTAAGACATTTGGAAAGTTGAGACCCACTAATCGCATCAAGCCCACATTGTCAAACAGTGTTAATCTTGTGAAGTTGACAGCAGTAGTCTCCGGTAAGTTGTACTCGGAGTCTGAAATAACTTTGTTTTTTGTTGTTGTAAGGATGGATGCAGTCCACCCACAATTTTTTATGATTTGTGCTGTTATTTATCCTGAATACTTCCCGGTGTAATGTTCCTGACACTGGTTTCTTGGTGCCGTAATATGCAGTTATTGCTACCTTGTAAGAATACTGGAATGGGTTTTAGTGACTTAACATGTACACTGCTGGTGTCCATATTTGGGAAAGTTGCTTTTCCGGCTTAGCAGTAACAAATTTTTACAGGCTAGAAAAAACAAAACAATTTGTGGTCTTAAGATTGCTATTCCAAGTGGAAAGGATTTTCAACAGGATTGTTAAGTGACACTGAGAATTGGTACCCTAGAAAGACAGTTAAAAGTTGGAGATTCAATTCTACAAAATGTTTAATCATATCAGATCACATGACCACTTACCTAACATTCACATCACTGATGTTATTTAATAACAGTAGTTGTATCTAGTTCTGGCTGCCATATGTGTATATATATATATATATATATATATATATTGTGTGTGTGTGTGTGTGTGTGTGTGGAGAGAGAGAACTCCAATTATCCCTTGATTGTTTTGAC